GGGGGGGTAACAAACTACGTGGCAAAAACGGGCTTAAAAACTTAGTCGAAAGCGTACCGGCTGTCGGTACGAGGACGCGTTTTTTGCACATTTCCCCCGCAGGATTTTTTTCGCCAGTGGCACGTTCTTCCCGGCAGATGCTTTTAGCTAAAAGAATTGAGACAAGCCACCACAACTGTCAGAAATTATTACAATGATTCCCAATCCATGTTGAAATAATTTAAGCAATTGCGAAAGATAGTGCTTGTTGCTAAACAAATACATACACGCACAGGATTCGGGGATGTGATTATTTTCTTTAATATTATGTAGAAATTAAAGAAAAGTTGAAAACTGGTCACAATTAGTATCACAGCAGCTGTACCATGCAGCAATTTTCAAGGGGCACTGCCTCGCTGTGCAGTTTCATATCGGGCCCAAATCGGTTCATGGAAGCTCGTCAATGATACATAAGTGCCATGTGCAATCTCGAAATTGTTGCAAATGATATCCAGTGTAGTGTTAGCGCCTATTGTAGCACTGTCGGGGTTTCTAACTGTTAAGCCGAACTGCTGCACCATTTCTTTAAAGGTGCGGTTGTATGCGCCGCTAACATTACGACTGAAGTCTGCCATGATAAGTATTCGTCCAGATTCAATGCAAATCCCGGATAAGAACTGACGAATGCAGTCATCAGTAACTCCTGGAGCTGCGTATACACCAGCAGTGAGCGAAAGGCGAGTGAAGCAAATTGCCGTTTTCTTTAATTCTTATCGATCTAACATTATGCGCTCGATCCACCAACTGCTCCGATATGAGGTAGCACGCTCCTCCAGCTCTTCTGGTAGGTCCTGCACAATCAGTACGCGATACTGTCCGAAATCCGGTAACAGTTATTTGCTCCGTCGTCAATGTCCAGGTCTCTCCGAGGAGTATTATATCACTTGTTCTGAACACTGAATCGTTCTCGATCTGCTTACTGTGTTCCCCGACACTTTGAACATTGTGATACAGTACTTGCACAACGGTACGCGCTTCGTGCAGGAATTTAAATGCCGGCATCAGCAAACACCGCTCCTGGCGCTGCAGTTCCAGTCGCAGTGGATCTTTGGGGTGAGGTTTTTTCAACGGTACAAAAGAGCCAATGATGAAAAGGCCTGTCAGTGAAGTGACACGTGACAGAGCAATATAA